TCATTTTCTTCAACTATAAAACATAGGTGATTATCATATTTGCTCACTTGGATTAAAGTAGATTTGCGACGATGAGATGCTTCACATATAATCAATGATAGTGATGTTGCTGATGACATAGTCTACATTATCACGGGTGCCCCTCCCCCAGTGGTGAGCTATTCATGGTGGAGCTATTATAGTGCCTGGAAACCCAGCAGTTTTGAACAGTCCAGAGAGGAAAGGAGTCTCTGACTGAATTTCCATTTTTTCCCCCTAGAACACTGTTTTGAATTGATAGTTATTACTTATTTTAAAATTCTTTTTTTAAATGTTTATTTATTTTTGAGACAGAGAGAGAGACAGAGCTTGAGTGGGGGAGGGGCAGAGAGAGAGGGAGACACAGAATCTGAAACAGGCTCTGAGCTGTTATCACAGAGCCTGATAGGGGGCTCGAACCCATGAACCATGAGATGGTGACCTGAACTGAAGTCGGATGCCCAACCGACTGAGCCACCCAGGCGCCCCTTAAAATTCCTTTTCTCAAAAAATTTTAATGTTTTATTTATTCCTGAGAGAGAGAGAGAGAGAGAGAGAGGAGCATGAGCAGGGGAGGGTCAGAAAGAGAGGGAGACACAGAATCCGAAGCAGGCTCCAGGCTCTGAGCTGGCTGTCAGCACAGAGCCCGATGTGGGGCTCAAACCCACGAACCGCGAGATCATGACCTGAGCAGAAGCTGGACGCTCAACCGACTGAGCCACCCATTCTCCCTGCGCCCTTTAAAATTCTTAATCTACACTGATCTTCCTGAATTGAGAAGGAATCTAGGGAGAACCTGAGTTAGGCTTTGCAGAAATTTTAAGACAAACAATCAAACTATAAGAAAATGAACAATAATGAGTTTTAAGAACTTAAGGTTTGGGTCTCTTTTTTTAAATGTTTATTTATTTTGAGAGGGAGACAGACACACACACACACACACAGAGGGGGGGAGGGGAGGGGAAGAAAGAGAGGGAGAGAGAGAATCCTAAGCCGGCTCTTTGATGTCAGCGAGTAGCCTGATGCAGAGCTCCATCCCATCAACTGCGAGATCATAACCTGAGCCAAAATCAAGAGTTCTGAGTCAGGCTCCTTGTTGAGTGTGGGGCGTGCTTAAGATTCTCACTCTCTCTCTCTGCCCCACTACCCTGCTCACACTATCTCTCTTAGAAGAGGAAAAATTTTCCTTTTAAGGTGATGTGAGCTTTAGAAGTTACTAGAATATTATAACTCATTTTTAATAGTTTTTTTTTTTTTTAAATGTCTGTTTGTTTTGAGAGACAGCATGAGCAGGGGAAGGGCAGAGAGAGAAGGAGAGAATCCCAAGCAGGCTCTGTGCTGTCAGTTCAAAGACCAGCATGGGACTGGAACTCATGAACCATGAGATTATAACCTAAGCTGAAACCGAGAACCAAATGCTTAGGCACCCGTAAGCTCATTTAATCTATGATACTGTTGGAATGAATGTGGCCCATGAAAAAAATACTTAAATTTTGATCACAGGCATTTTTCCCAATATAAAAAAACAAACAAAAACCACTTTGCTTCTAAAAATCCATCCACATTACCTCAAAGTATCCTAAAGGTGGGGCACCTGGAAGCTCAGTTTGTTAAACATCTGACTCTTGATTTCAGCTCAGGTCATGATCTCACAATTTGTGGGGTTGAGGGCTCCTCACTGACAGCATGGAGCCTGCTTAGAGCTCTCTGCCCCTCCCCTGCTCTCTCTCGCTCTCTCTCTCTCAAAAATAAGTAAACTTAAACAGAAAAGTATCCTAAAGGCAAGGAATATTTCTTTTTACCCACATGAAACCACAACGTACCTAATGCATCCTCGACTCCCTCATTGAAAGTTTTTGTCTGACCTTTCCAAAAACATGTGGATGTGACTTCTGGTCAAATCATAGAGTTGTCATTAGGTGGAGATATTTCTTTTAAACCATCCCGCCTCCACTACCCTCACCCCCAGAAAAAAACTAAATAGCAAAGACTTCAAATTGAGTTAACTTGCAAAATTTTAAAGTCTGGCTTCATCACATTGGGGTGCTAGTTGTTATTCCCTTAAATGTTTAGTAAACCCCGTGTGTCAAAGACAGCCATTGCAAAAAATGCTCCAATGGAGTTTTGTTTCACACTCTTTCCTTCGAAGAGCACAATCAGGTGCTACCCACTCTCACTTTATATGCTCATTGACCATGGTATAGAAAAAAGCTTTAATAGAAGGAAAGGAACTGTCCAGCACATTATAGGAAATACTTTTTAAAAAAATCAGAGGCCACGTATGAATACTAGGCTAATGCAAAGTACAGGGTCTCCAAGAGAGGACCTGCCACACTTGTCCATTTTGCTGGCTGGAGAGGTTGGCTCAGTCAGGCTTCCCAGCCACTTCCCCAGAGCTCAGGATCTCTTCTGGGAAATAGACCACAACAGTGTTTGTAGTCCTGTCTTCTGCTGGGTCCTATCTTGGTGCACCTCCAAGAAAAGAATCATAGAAATGTAGATCTAGAAATTATTTTGGAGATTTTACAGATGAGAAGAAATGAAGTCCAGAAAACAGAAGTAATTTACTCCAGTCCAAACACCCAAAGGATAGTAGGACTGGAGCCCTATCTACTGGCCTCTATGGCTTCTAAGCCTAACAGCTGCTTTGAAAGAACTCAGAATTCAGGATGTCACAGAAATCTTTAGCTTATGTGTTACACTGTTATTAGTAGATCATTATAACTATATGTGCAGAAGGTAAATATCCAGTGATCCAATCATTAAAATAAGATTTGCATAACATGTTGTGAATTTGTTACATACAACAGAAAGTAACCAAATTCACTAAAATTTAAAAATATTTCTGTATTAATTTAAAACAATTAACTACTGTGAAAATGGCTTCATCATCTTGAATAAAAACCTTATATAAGTGTGTTATTATTGGGGCGCCTGGGTGGCTCAGTTGGTTGAACGTCCTAATTTGACTCAGGTCATGCTCTTGCAGTCTGTGAGTTCCAACCCTGCACTGGGCTCTGTGCTGATGGCTCAGAGCCTGGAACCTGCATTGGATTCTGTATTTCCCTCTGTCTCTGCCCACCCTGCTCACACTCTCTCTCTTCTTCAAAAATAAATAAAAATTAATACAAGAAATTAAAAAAATAAGTGTGTTATTATTAACTCTACCAACATTTTTGAGACTGCACTATTACCAGGCATGGCCCTAAGTGTGAAGATGCAAGAGGAAAAAGAAGAGCCCTGTTCCAACTTGCCAGCAAATTGAGGACGCTGATATAAAACAAACCAGTGTGATCCTGTGATTACAGCTCTGGCTGCCTGGGGTATGATGCCTGCGGCAGGACAAATGAAGGGGACTTAACTGTCAAGTAAGGAAGAGAAGCTTCCCCGGAACAGATGCCCCAGGGCTGCATCTTGAAAGAACAAAAGGGCATTAAAAGAAGAGAGAAGAGCATATTTCAGCCTGTAGATGTGACAGCACGTGGCAGATCTGGGGACTATGGGCTTCTAAATGGCTGCGTCCCACAGGCTGGGAGGCCAAATCCAGAAGAGGGTTGTACATCATACCGAAATGTTTGTATCTTAACCAGAAAATAGTGGGAAGGTGTTGACAAGTTATATGCTCTAAAATAACAAGAATCAAATTATGCTATAAAGTCATTGGTTTCATTTGGTTTTGTTTTTTTGCTTCGCAATATCTGAAACTTTGACAGAACATCTGGGAGCTGAATGTGATAAAAAATCACTAGTATCCAGTTGAAGAGCAGACAGAAATCAGTTTCCTCATCTGTAAAACAGAGATCATTTTAGGGTTGTTGTCAGAAGCACATGGTTAAAGCCCGTTCAGCATTTATTACAGGATCAGGCATATTGTAAACACTCAGTAAGGGTAAATAGGCACTGTGATCATCATCATTATAAAAATCTGAATTGGAGGGGCATCTAGCTGGCTCAGTTCGTAGAGTCCAACTCTTGATTTCTGGATTGTGAGTTTGAGCCCCATGCCGGGTGTGGAGATTGCTTAAAAAAAAATCTTAAAAAAACAAAAACACTGAATCAGAGAAAATGAGTTAGAATACCAATGGTTAATTTTAACACGTAGAGTTAAGAATAATTTTCCAAATTTGCTGATTCTGTATTGCTTAGAGTAATTGGGTCCCTTCAGAGAGAACTACTTTGTTAGAGGCAGAGCTAGGAAAAGGCATTGGTTAGCAAAATACATTGATTATGTACTTGTGAGGAACTTTTCTGCTGATTTTATTGTCCAAGAGAATGTAAGGAAAGGAAACTTGAGTTTCAGCAGTTGAGAGCAGTATCTGAGGAGAGCTATGTGCTTGATTTGGGAATTTAAAGTGGAAGAGGACAATATCAAGGTCCATAGATAGAAACTCTGGATAAAAATTAACATTTTTTTTTTCTTGGCAGGCCCACAGAAAAAAAGAGAGTATATTATGCTTTTAATTTGCTATTACGTTGTATCTAATTGTTTATAATCTATCCTCATACTGTAATGACTGGAAATTATTTTTTTGTATTAGAATATTTTCTGTAATTATTCCAAATTGAAAATTTGAAACATAGTTTAGCAATTTCACTTCGGTTGTATTAAAAATTAGGTAGGGGCACCTGGGTGGCTTAGTGGGTTAAGCGTCCGACTTTCACTTGGGTCACGGTCTCGCGGTTCGTGGGTTCGAGCCCCACGTCAGGCTCTGTGCGGACTGCCAACTCAGAGCCTGGAGCCTGTTTCAGTCTGTGACTCCCTCTCTCTCTGACCCTCCCCTGCTCACTCTCTCTCTCTCTCTCTCTCTCTCTCTCCTAGAAATAAATAAAACATTAAAAAATTTTTAAAAAAATAAAATAAAAATTAGGTAGATCAGAATTAGATTTACTATGTGCATAATACCATCTCTCTATTAAGAAAAGGACTACATTCCAATATTTTGTAGAGTAACAGTTTTATTTTCTGTGTTCTGTTTTGTTAGTGCTCCTATATTCCTCCCTGTAAGAGAGAAAATCAGAAGAACTTGGAAAGTGTCATGAATTGGCAACAGTACTGGAAAGATGAGATTGGTTCCCAGCCATTTACTTGCTATTTTAATCAATTTCAAAGGTAAGCCAGTATTGACATGTGCATATTAAAATGGTTTGTAGCCTGTGTAGTTTATTACAAATTAAATCGTAGATTGTGCTCACTTGACAAAATATCTGACCTGGAGATAGTCTCAACTCTTTCTAGCGTGGAGTTAGGGAAGCCACTTCTTACTCCACAGGTGGGCAGGGAAGTGAAGAATCTTCAGGACAAGAGGAGAGAACTTGTATCATGGCGCTACCCTCTCGGATACACAGAGAACATACTTTCAGATTGGAGCATTGGATACTAGTGGTGTTTCCTGAGAATTACAGATTCATGCACATAAACTGACCCACATGTGGGTTTGTGAGCACTTGGGGTTGGGTCAAATCTTCCCTTTCCTTTTCCTTTCTATTCTGTCGAAGTACCATGAAAATGAGTTCACGCCCTGAAAACTTACTTGACTTCGAGAGAACGCAAGTCATGCCATATAACCGCGGATTGTTGGACTAGAACACTATGGTACCCACCCGGATTGATCATACTAATTTATTCATTAAACATTGAACTTTTACACCTCCTTGCCGTACTGTCCATTTAGATGTTCCACGGTTACATTAAGCTTTCTTTTCCTCTCGGAGTCTCTCTTAGTGAAGGCCACTACCACCCACTTGTTTACTTAGTCCTGAGAACAGTGAGTAATTCCTAATTTGTATTTCTCCTTTACACACTATTACTCGTATTTGCCGTCATGCTGATTCTACCTCCATAATGACCCTTCTCTGCCTTCCCTCTGCCACTGTCTTACTTCAGCTCTATTAATACAAAACGCTTCTAACCAGTCTTTCCACCTCCCACCTGCCCCCACTCCAAGCCCATTCTTCATGCTGCTGCCAAGGCGATCTTTCTAAAACATGAATTTAATCTGGTTACTCCTCATGGTTTTCAAAGTAGAGTCCAAACATCTTGGCATGGCCTATGCATCAGGTACCTATGGTTTGCACAACAAACCACCCAAAATCTAGTGGCTTACTCCAACAATGATTTATTGTTCCTTACAATTCTTTGGCTTGGCTGGGAGTTCGCGTGCAGTCAGATGATGGCTGGCATAGCTGTGTGGGCCAAGATGGCCTCGCATGCCCAGCACTTGGTACCCGTGTGGCTGAGGCGCCTCAGTTCTCCTCCACCCACTTCTCCTCCTTCAGTAGGTTAGATCGCCTTCCTTACAATATGGTAGCTTCAGGGCAGCATTTGAAGAGAGCCAGGCCTTGACTCTGGAACTTACATAACATCACTTCTGACACATTCGATTGGTCAAAGCAAGTATGAGGCCACCCAGATTCATGGGGTGTGAAAAGCGATTCTACTTCCTGAGAGAAGCTGCAAAGATTTTGTGGCCATATTTAATCCACCATAGCATAGGCTTCTCAAGTTCTTGCCCCAGACTACCATCTTTCCAGCCTCATCTTTATGCCACTCTGCACTATGTGCAGTTCCAAGAATATCTTATATGTTTATATCCATGCCTCTTTATTTGCTTCTCCTGCTTCTTGACTGCCTTGATGAAGACCCCCTTTCTGGGCTGTTTTCCAAACCAAGTTTGGTTTAGTTGTATTACTTAGGAAGCCATCTATTGCATGCAAATGGAAAACTGACTCAAAGTATCAGAAACAATTGGGAAATTTATTATTGGGTGCATTAAGAAACGTACGGGTAGATCAACGTTAGGGTTGTTTGATGAAGTCACCTAACAGTGGCATCAAGAACCCTGGTCCTTTCTGGATCTCAGTTCTGCCTCAGATCCACTCATGTTTATGATATGCACGCATAGCAGTGTCCAAAGGCCAAAAGAAAACTCTCTTTGGGCATGTTTTTCTTGGAATTAAGAAACCTTTTCTCAGCTTCCCCTTAGGTATCCAGGTTTATAATGAGTCCTTTTGCCTACACATAAACCAGTCACAAGAAAGAACAATCAGAATGTACCACTGAGTTGGGGACAGGGCAGTATCTCCTTAGCTGGACGGAGAAAGGATGCACACCTGAGCAGACAGGAATGAAGAGGAAGGAACAAGATGTTGTAGAACAGCCAAAAGTGCCAGCTGTGTGTCTTCTATGTTCTGTTTACACAGCTCTATCCCTGACGTTTGCAACCCTCACTTCACATAACTATGTCAGAGGAGCTTAAAAAAAAGCACTACAAACCAGTTAAATTAGGATCTCTGGTGGTTGAACCTAGGCATTAGCATTAAAAAAAAATTGACTTCAGGGATTCTAATATACCACTCGATTGAAAGCCACTACATTATCTTTTCATTATGCCTCCCTCCTGGAATCGTCTGTATACCCATCTCTCCCACGAGACTGTATACTGGTTAATGGCGTGGTGCATCCTCTTTGGCTTTATATCCCCAGGACTGAGAGCAATGCCTCACTCTCAGTTAATAAAAGTCTGGTGAATTAATGAATAAATGAATGCAACGTGCCAGATTAATAAGGAGGAATTTATTGGTGAGAAAGAGGTGCTTATGCAAATAGAAATATGACTTTATCAGCTAGAAATGAAAGAGGAGAAGACCTTGAAGATGAGATGGCTACAATAAAGAAACAAGGCTTGACGACATAGATACATAAGGTGTGTAGGTTATATAATAAGGAGTGGTGAGCGGTTCTTACGAACCGGGTTCAAGTCCCGTGTCCGGCTCTGTGCTGAGTGCTTGGGATCCTCTCTCTTCCTCTCTCTCTCTGCTCCTGCCCTGCTCACCCTCTCTCAAAATAAATAAATAAAGACTTAAAAAAAAATGAGTGGTGAATCTGTAAGGTGGAAAGGTAGCTTGAAGTTAGATTTCTAAAGGGTCGTAAATGCCATACTAAGGAGATCATCCGTTACATGGGCAAGGACAATTTATGACACGTTTTTTCTTCTTTTTCTTTTTTTTAAATCAGAGACTGACTTGAGTAGATCCCTGATTTAGAAAGTAACCCGTTTAAAAAAAAAAAAAAAAAAAGGAAAGAAAGTAACCTGTTTGAGTGTTGAATGTATATTGGAGGAGAACGATGGAGAGCCAAAGGCACGGTGCTCTAGCCCAGACACAGGCAGGGGGTGGGGCAAGTAAGGAGAATACTGAGTGGCTACTGTGTGCCAACCATTGTGAATAGCATTGCATTTAGCTCACCCAATTTCTTATAATAGTTCTAAGTACTAGCTCCATTTAGCATATGAGGGAACTAAGTCTCAAAGAAGCTAAATAACTTGTGGGATGTACACAGCTATTAAGTGAAAAAAACCCTGGAATCCAAAGCTCCTTCCATTGCCTTTCTGCTGGTCCTCATAGAGCCGGAGGGCCCAGATAAGGGCAGTGGACGTGGAAACAGCTCGCAGAGAGATACATCAGGAAGATGTGTAAGTGTTGGAACCAATAGAACTTAATGTAAGTGTTGAGGAACAGGAAGGTGTCATGTTTGCCTGGGTGTGAGAAAGGACAGCCCTGCTTCATGCTGGATTTGAGGGACTCACATATCCAGAAGGTGCTTGAAAAAGTTAGAAGTGCAGACTTTTAGTTCAGGAGCAGGTCAGAGCCAGTGTTAGACAGCCAGGAATCACTGGTACACAAGCTGTTAGTGGAGGGCGAGAGAGAGAATGCACACATAATAGGGACACATAGAGAAGAGGAAGGTGGACAGTCTTGGGGTCATCTACGCTGAAGCTATAGGGAGAAGGAGGGTGGAGGAAATGGCCAGATGGTGAGAGGACAGTCCGAAGAGTGTAGTGTCTTGAAAGAGATAATCAAAAAGGACTACTGAGTGGGGCACCTGGGTGGCTCAGTCGGCTAAGCGGTTGGCTTTGGCGCAGGTCATGATCTCACAGTTCATGAGTGCGGGCCCCATGTCAGGCTCTGTGCTGACAGCTTGGAGCCTGCTTCAGATTCTTGTCTCCCTCTCTCTCTCTGCCCCTCCCCTGCTTTTGCATGTGCACACACACACTCTCTCTCCCTCTCTCTGTCTCTCTCTCTCCCTCTCTCTCTCCCTCTCTCAAAAATAAATAAACATTTCCCAATAAAAAAGGACTACCAAGTCACTGGTTTTGGTAATCAGAAGCCTGTTGGGGGGCACCTAGCTGGCTCAGTCAGTTAAGCATCCAACTTTGGCTCAGGTTTGAGCCCTGTGTCAGGCTTTTTGCTGACAGCTCAGAGTCTAGAGCTTGCTTCAGATTCTGTGTCTCCCTTTCTCTACCCCTCCCATGCTCACACTCTGTATCTCTCTCTGTCTCAAAAATAAATAAACATTAAAAATTTTTTTCAAGAAGTCTGTTTGCCATCTTTGTGAAAACAAAGCCGTCTTAGAGCACCGGGTTAGAAATCATTTTATATTAGCCTGAGGGGAAAATGTGAAGGCAGAGTGCAGAATAAGTGCAGAGTCCTCTTTCCAGAAGTTTGTCATGTCTGGAAAAAGAGCTTTGGGGAGGAGGTAATTCTAGGGAAGCAGGAATGGATTCAGAGAAATGAGACCACTACAGACTAAAACTGCTGAGGAAGAGAGAAGCTCTCTTGCTGAACATAGTAATGCGGCAAAAGTGGAACACACCGTGAAGAAAATGAGACCGTATGAAACAACAAAGATGAAGGGAGTAGTGGTATTTTTTGTGACGTTGGGGCCCCGTAACGGAGAATGCAGCAGCGGTCAAGATGGTTGGATTCTGAACCCACTGCTGAGTCAATCAAGTGCTCCTTTAAGCTTCCTGCCCTGGAGGAGGAACTGGTCTCAGATGTTGGCAGGCCTGCACTTGCAGTTGGAAGCCGGCAGGGGCGCCCCTCCCACGGGCTGTCTTGAGCAGCTGGTGGTCTTCTTAACAAAGTTCCCCTCACTCCCCTCTCAGGCATCTCTAAAATTTTTTTAAGTTTATTTATTTTGAGAGAGAGAGAGCAGGGGAGGGGTAGAGAGAGAGAGGGCGAGAGAGAGAATCCCAAGCAGGCTCCGCACCATCAGCATGGAGCCCGACGTGGGGCTCGAACTTGGGAACCATGAGCTCATGACCTGAACCG